TATCTTTGCTGTGATGGGAAGTAGTGAAGTGCCTGTGAGGGTGTGGATATGTGTGCAAGGGTAATTAGAAATGTAGCATGATATTGAATTTGTTTTAATTCAGAAACAGGTTTAAATTCTTCATTTGCATGGGCTCTTGAAAACCGTTTGGCATGTTGAGAAGGATATTCAATTCTGTAGCAACTGATTCTCAGATCAGAGAATCATTGTATATCTTGAGTTGGAAGGAACTCATAAGAATCATCAAGTCCAACTCTCCGCTCAACACAGGACTTTCTATAACCAAACCATATGACAAAGAGTGTTGTTCAGATGCTCCTTGAATTCAGACAGTTGCAGCCACAAGCAATTCCTTGGGAAGCCTGTTCTTCGCTGGCCATCTTCTCAGTGAAGAACCTTCTCCTAATGTCCAGGCTGGACTTCCTCTCACACAGTTTCATTCCATTTCCTATCACTGGTCACTAGAGAGAAGAGATCAGCACCTCCTCCACTGCTCGCTTTGGTGGTGCATTCCTCCCCTCCTCAGGGTGCTCTACAATCTCAGGAATTCTCTTTAGGACTAAGACTTGAGGAATGACTTAGGCAATGAAACTTCTCTCAGTCTTAACAGAAAGGCATACATGACTAAGGTGGTAAGGCAACATACTTAGCAGAAGCTTCTGTTGCCTAACAAAGGACAAGAGATAATCAGCTGTGCCCTGACAACCTTGGAACATTACTTGCCTGAATCATCCTGGAGACTGACAGATGACTGAAGCCAAGCATTTTTGCAACCCTGTAAGCAGCAGTCTTAAGTGAGACTCTCAGAGCTCTCCTGGAAGTCAGCAGCCTGCCTGTCTTGTCCCAGCCTCTCACTCTGTGTGGGACACCTCTCAGAGCCTGCCAACTCTCACACTGATACTTGGAGGACCATCACTGAAAGCTGTCAAGGGGGTCTGGGTTGATACATCACTCTTCAAGGCTCAGCCTGCTGAGAGATGCAAATGCATTCCACATGAGTATTTCACTGACCTTGGTATGGGTGGAATTTTTAACAGGTACCTTTGTACATGTTGCCATCTGTCTGTGTGTATGGGTGTCCGAATGGCTTTAGATACCCTAGAGCAAGCACAGTATGAATATTGCCAATTTAGATTTATAGTTCAGTTCCTTTACTTATAGTAAACCTACTGAATAATTTTGCAAGTGTTCAATAATGATTAAGTGCTTCTAAATACTTTAGACATAAAACCCTTGAGCAAGCCTGAGGCTAAGTTTGGCAAGGGAATCCATTCTGAATATCATGACCCAATGGGAATGTCTCCCTTACCCTTTATGACTCTCATCCTTTTGTAACCCAGAGTCTGTGAAAATTATTTTAAATATGTTGTGATCCAGTTTTTCTTTATATGCTTCATTCTATGTGGTAGTAAACTTTGCCACTCAACTCTGTTAAGCCACACTTTGACAAATACATATTAAAACTTCCTTTACTAATTACTTTGATGATGATTCTTTAAGCAGACAAAATACTAAATTACATCCTCCTCAAGGAAGCTGTAGGCCGCAATGGGGACACCCCTCAGTCTTCTCTTCTCCAAGCTGAAGAAATCAAGTGGCCTCTGCCACTCTTTGTAAAGGTTACAGTTGAGGCAGTTCACCATCTTGTCACTCTCTTCTGGTCACTCTCTAGTAATTTCATGTCAGTCTTAATATTGAGGTGCCTAAAACTCACACACATCTCTCCCTACAGAGGCAAGGTCGCACCAATACAAAGTACAGCAGCCCTCAAACAGCTGAAAGTGCTGTAGTTGATATCCACCCCAGGCTATGGTTGGCCCTTTTGGCTGCCCAGGAACACTGCTGACCCAACTTGCCATTAATCCAAAGCCCTAGATCTCTTTTCATGGGCTTGTTCTTCAGCCTTGCATCCCTGTTACTATTGAGAGATGCCTCTGCCTGACTTAAGGTGCAAATGAGACCATATGCTGGAGTCAACTATATGGATTTTGCTTAACTACAAAAATGAGGTATAAAGATAGAAGAAGAGCTAGAAAACAGAGAAGAGAGAGGGAGAGAGAGATATCAAGCAGATCCCCCATCCAGGGGTGTCCCATTGATCCTTCCTCACCCTGGGCATCTTGGTGGTATATTGATACTCATTCTTTTGGTGGTAACACCTTTATACAGCCCAAGTTCTAAGTATTGATGGAGGCATGTTCCTAATTAACATGTGAAGCAAGGTTCAGTGTATCTTCATGCAAAAGTGAGGGTAGGCAAGGTCCTCTCTCTGAGAATAATTCCTCCAAAGTTTTGAGGGGCTTTTGTTGGTCACAGGTACTGTCTGTCCATAATATGCAGTGATCTTTGTTTGACCACTGATGTGTGTATGAGTAGTTGCTTCTTTTCACTCAGCTTGCCATAGCAGAAATTTCTGTCCGGATGCATTAACAAGGATGTGCTAACCAGATAAAGCCTCCACCAGGCCTGGAATGGGAGCCTTCCAGTTGCAAATTCCTTCTTTCTGTGTTTATCTTATTGCAAATCCTTCTCTAGCCTTAACAGTTTTTCAGATAGGCAACTGTGCTTTTTAACTACTTACAGTCCCCAATTTGCACATATTACCAGGATTACCCTATCCCAGGTAATAAATCCAGCACTTGCTCTTGATATATTCTGTTCACACAGTTGGATGATTGCCAAAGCTCCTCAGTCAACCTAGATCTCTCTGTAGGACCTCTCTAGAAGTGGATTTTGGGATTTTGAGGGTCTTAGGGGTTACAATCCTTTGGTCAACAGTTCATGCCTACTATTTTGGCGCTTGCACTGTCTTTCATGTGCAGGAATAAAACTCAACACCAATGTAGTTTTAAGAAACAGGCATTACTTTATGATGGCGAAGGATGCATGGGGATAACTCCTCTGAATTTTTATTATTCTCCAGATGTATGGCCAAATGGCATGAAAGAAACCTATCCAACATCAATTTTATGTTGATAGGAAAAAATATATGCTAATATCTTCACAAACAACTCGATGGGTGGGGGTCTTCACTAATGATAGGAGAAATAGGGTGTTATTGTCTTCAGGAACGACTGAAAGAACCAGTCAGCTTCTGGAAGAATGGCTGTAGGTATTTAGAGGAAATGGGTCTTCATGTCTCTATGAACACCAGGCAGAGAAGTTACAGAACCCAGAGAATTGGACCCAGACAGTTTGATTTTCTGAGCTTTAGAGTAATAGGAGAAAAGGTCCGCACAAAGTCTATTGCAGAGCTCAGAAAGCCTGAACTTCCGAGCTTTAGGGGAAAATGACCATGCATGTTCAAGAGGTAATATATAGTAGGCAGTTCAGGAAGTCTGTTCTTTCCTATTACGTCAGCCAATGGGGAAAGGAACAAGGCAACATTCGGTCAGCAGTTCAGGATAAAAGGAGGCTGCACCCTCCAAAACCTTGAGAGACAATCTACAGGGCTATGCCCAGAGCACTCTCTCCCTTTATTGGAATAAATTTGCAGGACTCCTTTGTCTCCTTTACAGACACTGGTTTTTCACAACGTAGCTCTTCCGCACAAGGTGAATAAACCGCCACTTCTTTATTTTGGTGCCAGGAACACAGGGAATTATTCCTCTAAGCACATTCTGCTTAGTAAACAAAATCGTGATAATTGATAAAAAATTAGTGTTAATCACAAAAGCATTGGGGTTTGTATAAGCCAGAAAACTAAGCTCTGAAGTGAAGCATGGACACTAGATAAAGGAAATTATATGCCAAAATCATTCTGTTTTAAACCACCTTGTTATGTTATATTATATTATGTTTTCCAAATTAGTTGCATCTACCACCAGCTTGCAAAATCAGACTACCCTTCCTGCCTTTGTCTGATCAATGCTGCCTATCTCAAGGACCAGACATCCAGAACTTCACTGGTGGTTATCTACAAGGACCAGATAGCTATCTGTGAAACTGACTATCGCCAGACACTTTGTGAATTTGCATAAGGATGTTTATTCGACCACCACTGCTTACCTGGCAAAATTATGACAGCAAAAAACCAAAAATGATTGATTACAACGAGAAACCTTAGTATAAGAAGAGACTGTGGGCCAGGGTTCAGCGGAGCGTGGTGTGGGCGGTGACCCCTCACGTTCCCCAGCACGCTGCTTGCTCTGTCTATATCAAATAAAGCAATCTAAATTTTGCTGAATATCGAGACTTTTGATTCTCATTTATAACAAAGTCCTTCAATTTGATATACTTTTTCTGCTGAGTCATCGTTACATAAGTTCTTTTACATTTCGTGCATAATATGGCTGCTCTTGAATTTAACCTTAACGGTAACTAGTTTTGCTGGTTAAATAACTTCATCGATATTCCTACCCTAAGACAATTGGGCATCTCTGCTGAGCTCTGCTGACTGGAATCCTTGATATTCCAATCAAGGTGGGAAGGGTAGGGGTTTCCAAGCAGCATAACTGGTCTGCATGATGGTCTCCAGTTTCTTGAACAAAACGAAGAACATCCAGTAGCTTCTTGGCGGGGTTACTGCTGCATATTTTAAACACAGCATTCCTGACGTTCCTATACCTTACACTGCACATTTTTCTACTTGTAATCAAAACCACCTCTTTTATATTTTTGAATCGATTATTTTATCAGAATATTTATAACATTTCTTCTAACTGAAGTCTCAACTGGTCCTCAGCTCGTGGGGGAATGTGAAAGGAGCACTATTTTTCTTAAAAAAAAACGTGACGCGCATGAAGCAGGGAGCTGTGGCAGCTCTCTGAAGAGCTAAAAAGGCAAGAAGGGAGGCAGGAAAAGGCGCAGGGAGGAGGGGCTCAGCCTGGAGAGATCCGAGAACCGGGGACCCAGTCTATTGCCACTGTCCGCGGCTGAGCCCGGCGGCTCCGCGCTGCCTTTCGCGGCTCCGCACACCCCGCGCCGTGCGGGCAGGACGCGCCGGCGCCGCCTCTGCCCCGCCCCGGAGCTCCCGCCCCGCTGCCCGAAGCCGGGGTCTTCTTCCGTCTCCCGTCGGGGCCGACAGCTGCGGCTCCGGTAGAGTCGCCGGTTCGGTGAGGACGTCCGCGGCGGCGGGGAAAAGGAAGGAAGGGAGCGAGGCGAGGGGCGGTGGGGGTCGTGCTGTTCTGTTCTGTTCTGTTCTGTCCTGTCCTTCCTTCTCTTCCGCCTGCAGGGCCCGCACCCGGTGGCTGCCAGGAGCTGCTCCCTGGGAGCTGCCGGGCCCTGCGGAGGGCTGGGCGGGCGGGCGGAGCCCTTTTTGTGGCTGGGCCGCGGAGCGGGGAGGCCGCGGGGCTGGAGCGGCGGGGGCCGCGCAGCGCCTGGGCGGCCGCGGGTCGCGGTGGGGCGGCCGGCGCGGGGGCCCGGGCGGAGCCCGGCAGCCAGCCCGCTGCCCGTCTCGCAGAATCAATTAACATCAATTAGTAACTGTCCTGCGAGTGCCTGAACAAGGACATTGCGATGCGCAGGCTCCGGAAACATCCCCCGCCCCGATCACCTTAAGGAGGCAGAGGTTTGTTTGCTGTATTTCTCCGTAGGGTATGACAATGCAGGGAGATGCGGTTGAAAGATACAAAAAAAACCCAAAGAAAACGACAAACGAGAAAATCTGCCTCCCCCCCGAACAAAACTGACAAGAGAAAGTAATCACTGTCAGGGTTGAAAAACGGGTATTTAGAGCATCCTGTGTTTAAATTCTGCGATGAAAGTCCAGCGTTAGTGATTTTTTTGCTTCAGCCTCTCAGATAGGCAGCACAAGGTATGCGGTAAGGAGCCGGTGCTCTGCTTTGTGTGAAAGGGACACCTGCAGTCCTGTATTGTGGTTGAAATGATGAAACTGTCTATACTATAAAAGAAAAAAAACAAACTTGATTTAAAGAAGTATGGGTTCGATGTTTCTGCTTTGGGTTGTTCGACTAGTGTAGGTGATAGAATTAACTTGTTTATTCCATCTGCAAAGGCAGATGGAAATGCGAGAAAAAAGTGCAAGTATTCCATCATTGCAGAGCAACTTTCTTCCTGTGCTCTAGGAGATGTGCTTTATATGTCTGTGGCATCAATGAAAACCGGAGGTATCAGGTAGAATGTGAGTAGATTTTCCGCTGGCGCACTGGATATATTTTAGAAGCCCATAGGAATGCTGGTGGTTGTTTTCCTAGAAATTGTTGGGAGCCTGACTCAACTCTTTCGAGGAGCTTCATGGTAACTTTGGGCATTTCCCTGCTGTTAACTAGTCTCCTGGGAGGACTTAAAAATAGAATAAAACAAACCCAGCTCGTCGTGACTCCTGTTAGTATTTTCTCCTGAGAAAGTACTCATCTGAGAATGATGGGAGTAAAACTTGTTACAAACATCAAAAACTCCTAACTTGACTTTTATCACCCTGTTCTCTTGAACTAGCCAACTGATGTCCCAAAACATTCAGACAGACATTCCTGGCAAAGAAAACAGACTTGTGATAATGATTACTTTTATATTACTGTCTGCAAAATTAAATCCTTTACTCTTGATTCCTGAACCAGTATAAAAGTTCCCCTGTGTCTCAAGGTGTAAAGTCTTGGAAAAATTACTGCAGTAGTTCCCAAGATGTTTACCAGGAACCATTAGTTCAGTGTTTGTGTGTCTCACTGTAGTGAGTTCAAGAATCCAGGCCTCTTTGTAGTTTAAGCTTAAACAGTATTTTTCCCCCGGGAAATAACATATTGTCTGATGTTTTGGCAGAAGAAAAAAAAAACAAAAACATTACATGCTTTATATCAAGTCTGTTATAGGGTGTTTTGGTTTCCTTCTAAATAAAAGCTAAAGCTTTCTCCAGTTCATTGGTTCGTTTTTAGAAGTTTTATTTTTGTTGTTTTGGTTCTGGTTTGTACTTAAAACACAGATGCTTTTTTTACTCTTCCTCCTTCCTACTAGTCTTCAAAAAAATAGTTGTAAATCAGTAAAATACTCTGATTTGCAGGGGACTGTCCCTCAAACATGGGCTCTTTAGAAGCAGATTGCTGATTTGGATTGTTTTCTGCAGGCTAAGGTGTTTTGGTAGGAGAATATTTTATATGTTTCTAAAATTTACACAAATCAGCCTTTCCCAACTGTTTTTTTTTGCCTTTTTTTGTTTGGTTTCATTTGCTGCAGCCATGAGCAACATATCAGTGGATTGGAGATCTGAGACTCTGTCATAGCATTTGTGGTTTTACTTGTAATAATTAACCTGTTAGTTTGATGTCGAACCTTTCTTCTTTATGTTGAAGACTTACAGTTGTCAGAGGGAGACCACTACTTTCCACCTCATAATTTAAAAGGCATAGATGAAGACAGCAGCAGAAGTAAAAGAGGGAGCAGAAAGCCAAGAAGGTGCAATTCAATTCTCTTAATTCCTAGAGGAGCTCCTACTTTGCTAAGATTAGCTATAAGAGCTTGTGAAAAACCTTAGAGCTTGCTGCTGACTTATAAGGAAAAATGGTGAAAACACCCATTACGGTTTTTAGCGTGCTTCACAGAAAACTGGAATTCAAAATCTATCAGGGGATCTTTTGGTATATTATTGGTAATCAGGACATAGGAGACTCTGGTGGGATTGTTGGTACTGGTCATTGCTCCTTTGGTAAAAGCAGCACTTGAAGCTTATTGACTGTTGTGTCTTCTAGGAGCCAGGAGCAGTGTGGAGCTTCTGTTCCTCCAGTGAGCGCTCCACATCTGTCTGAAGAGACACACAAGATTGTTGAAGTAAGTGATCTTTTTTTTTCTTTTAAAAGTGAAATTGTGGATGCCATTTTATTGTCTAGTTTGGTTTATCCTGAAGCACCACAAGTGGCAGCATCAGTGCAACTGAAATGGGTAGAAATGGCAAAGAAAATAGGCTTAGGGATAATATAAACTTCCAGCCCATCTTTGTTACTCAAAGCATTTCTAAGCTATATTCAATACTCTTGCATGCAGTTTTTCAAAGAACTGTAATACTTCCCCATTGCTGATAGGGAATGGATTTTTATTTTTTCACATATTGGATTGCTAGCGTGTTTCTGACTGTCATTTGTCTTTCTGATAAACATAAGTGATTCAGGTTATCAGGATTTTCAAAACTGCATAGAACAGTGGAAATGTAGAGAAAAAATGCTGTAGGAATTTATACTTGGAGGAATTTCAAGGAAGCTAATTTAATGGAAGGATTTATAGCAAGTAGAAAAATTCACCAATCAGATTTTTAAAAACACTCCAGTGATCTTTAAGGTAGCGCTGTGCCTTCATGCTACATATAAGTGGTCTCCATAAAAAGCAAAAATGCAAATATGTCAAAGAGCTCTTCTAGTATGTGCTTGTGAAATATTCCTGCGACCGAAATTAAATTAATTTCTTAATTTAGTCTGCACTTCAGTCTGTGTCCTGTACATAGATTGCAAACTTGTCTCCAATGAGTGGTCATTAGGTGTTGGATAATTAGGGAGCAATACTTCTAAAAGGGGATGTCTACAACTACTGAGGATGTAAAACAGTTCTTTAAATGTGCATTGAAACTTGAAAGGAATTTGGAAATTCCTCAGAGATTGAAGCATGTTCATGGTTTCTCTGCATTTCATTTGTTTCTGTGAAGTGGGTGAAGTACTGAGGCCTGAACAATAGGCCCTGACCCAAAGCTGACTCTCAATTAACCTTACAACCAAACGTTGTATAATATTTGTATTGTACAACGTTTATTTGTATTATTAGTGAAAGATGCAGGATCATTAGTGAAGTATGTAGTGTGGTAAGAATGTATTTCTTCCTGTGTCTAGAGGCCAGTCAGGGCCATGAAATCAGATACCTGTCCTTGTTTGGAGGTACATGGTCAAAGCCAAATCCCTTGGTTCCTCCTTGAGCCCTGGCCAGGCTTTGGGTAGAAACTAAGAGGAGAAAGAAACCAGATGTTCCTGCACTAGAAGGTATGGAAGCTTGTTTATTCAGAAACATAAAAGCTGGACCCTCTCACAATGAAGACAGAGACCTTACCTGCGGGTGGATGTACCTGAAGAATTTCCCATCTACCAGGAGTGGCTCTCCAGTCCTTTGCTGTGGCTAGAGCTCCCCAGCTGAAGTGCAAATCTGGATGATAATAAAACATTAGGTGATACACCCTTCTTAATTACTATAGGGAATCTTCTGTAGTAGTGATTAGGTGCATTGCTTAGCTTATCCTTTTGTAATTCTTTGCTGTTTTAAACCATAGTAAATTACACATAAGAGTAACCTTAAAGTTGGTGTTTGTGTCTTTTGTGCTGACCATGTCAACTGGCAGAACAGTGTGATGGTAAATAGAAATTTGCAGTTGAAGTGTAGGGGTGTAGGTATTTTCTAAAAAATGTCATTCCATCCAAGAAAGGGCAGCTTTGGACTCCATCTTTAGCTAACTTTCTTCCATCATAGTAATATTCACAACTAGAAAAGCATGAGCTATAGATAATACTTAGAGCTATGTGTTTCAGTTATATACATGAACTTTTCTGCAGAGGCAAGAATATTTCTATATAAAGGAGTCTGATGCTACCATCAGAAAAGCTTTCATCTGTAGGACTCTGTGGAATATTTGGTGATGTCAATTTGTTTGATGAATCCAGTCCCTGCTATTAATGCCTTTTCCCTGCAAATCTTTTCTGTTCAAAATTGCTTTCTCAGGCTTGCAGCTATTACTCAAAAGTGAACATTTTTTTTTCTCTGAAGAATATAAGCAATAAATGCTTGGTTGATACAATCAAGCAGTCAAGTACAATCTTGAAGATTTAATTTTGTTCTGAACAATGTCATCGCTTTTGCTAGTATTCGTGTGTTGCTTGGTACCATGGAGAACTAGAATGTTAAAATTCCTTGTGAAGCGCATCAAATGCCTGGTGTCCATAGTGCTTTTACCTTTCAGAATAACCTCTTGGAGCTCAGTTTAGATGCTGCTTATGACGAATTCTGATTTTTCTGTATCTAGTGCTTCTGGTTGTTGGTATGTGGAATTGTTGGTGTTGGTATGTGGTGTTTATCTGCATTAGCTCATTTGTAGGGAGAAGAATGACTTCTTTATTCTTGACCCGTTGACTGTGACCACAGTTCCTATGACACTTGTGACAGTGTTGCTGGGTGCAAACCCAATCTCTTACTGACAATTATTAAGCTAGTTTTGAAAGTACGAATTTAATAAATAGTGCACTTTAATAGTGGCTATAGCCTTTTGTGCTGAGGAAAGTCATGGAGCAGATCATCTTCAATGACATCACATGGCACCCATAGGACAACCAGAGAGTCACGCTCAGCCAGCATGAGCTTATGAAAGGCAGGTCTTGCTTGACCAACCTTGGTTTAAGACAATTTAATAGGAACTGGTGCACAAAAGGCAAGGACAAAATACCTTTCAACCAGTTTAGTCAAAAGGATATGTTTATTTCAGTGCTGGGCAGACACGCGGGATTGTTGCCAAAGGCGTGCGTGCCTTTCCACAGCTTTTAGTCCTCAATTTATTCACAAAAGTCATGCATATTCTAAGACGCCTATACATATTTATTACCTGTCACCACCCATTCCCCACTCGGTATTAAAATTAAGTGCATACTCATTGCAGTTGCATAGTCTCCTCTTTATATTGGGTCAGTGGTCATTTAAATGAGTTGGAGGGTGTCAGGGGAAGAAGGACCATCTACCTTGCTCTAAACTTTTTACCTATGTCCTGTTACTATGACTACCAACCTGCTGATCCCTCCATTCGGGTCTTCATTAATTATTCATTAATTTCAGTGTCAAAATTTATGATGCATAGGTCTCTCCTGTCTGGCTCTAAGTATTCTCTAAAGTATATTGATTTCGCTTAAATGCTTCCATATGTGTATTTAGCTAGCTCTGAATATTATCATATATAAACAATCAATCTTTGTCAACCTCTAATCCTTCTACTAAGCTATCTACCTTCATTTGTTACATTCCTAACCTCTGGCTTCTAAGCTCTCTAAGATATCCTGTAACTTGTTTCCCAAACATACAATTCTCTTGGCTGTAACAGAATCCTATGGTTCAGAACACTAAAATGAGTTACTTTCCCTTTGTTTTAACTGATCCCTTTCCACCAATAAGGAGGAAGAAACAGAGGAGATATAAGTGGAAAAATAACAGTTAACTAAAAAAACCAAAAATAGCAACAGGCAAAAACTAACAGTAAGAGCATTAGTTTTTGAGAATGTTGCTGAAATCTCCCAGACTCCTGGGGAACAAAGAGAAACTCAAAATGGCGGAGTGACTGCTTCCCCAAGATGGTGTCTGCCATGGGAGAGACAAAGGGAAAATGGTCGCAGTGCCCCTCCTCTCCCTTTATCTCTCTGGTGGCTGGTACTTGGTCAAGGGATAGAACTTGTGGAGGGACTTTGCCTTCTCGGCAGAAGGCAACAAGGCAAAGCCTCTGGGCTGGTGTGACTTGGGTGCCTTCTTGCCTCAGCCAGGCACTGCTGGTGGGCTGAGGTCACTACGCTGAGGTCACTACGCTGTTACAAATGGAGAGGGGAGTTAAACCAGTCCCTGCCTCTGCCCAGGCCTTTGACAGTAGACACTAACTTAACTGAGGTGGCCAACACCCCAAAACTTGCTCTTGTTCTGCAAATTCTTGATAATGGCCATTTAGGTCTATTACAAAATGAATGATTTATAGAACAGACCAAGGAAAGCAGACATAAAGCTTAAGCCAGGCTTGTTACCACACCAGATAAAAAGAGACACTACTGGTAGATAGTGTTATAAATGAGAGACGAAAGTCTCGATATTCAGCAAAATTTAGATTGCTTTATTTGCTATAGAAAGAGCAAGCAGCGCGCTGGGGAACGTGAGGGGTCACCGCCCACTCCACACTCCACCGAACCTTGGTTTGCAGCTTCTTATACTGTGGTTTCTTGTTGTAATCAATAATTTTGGGGGTTTTTTTGTTGTCATAAGCAGTGGTGGTTGAATAAACATCCTTACACAAATTCACAAAGCCTTTGGGCGATAATCAGTCACAGATAGCCATCTGGTCCTTGTAGATAACCACCAGAGAAGTTCCGGGAGTCTGGTCCTTGAGATAAGCAGTATTGATCAGACAAAGGCAGGAAGGGCTATTGGGAAGTCTGATTTTGCAAGCTGGTAGCCAATACAACTTATTTGGAAAACATAACATAATATAACATAATATAACATAACAAGGTGATTTTAAACAGAATGATTTTATCATATAATTTCCTTTATCTAGTGTCCATGCTTCACTTCAGAGCTTAGTATTCTGGTTTATACAAACCCCAACGCTTTCGTGATTAACACGAATCTTTTATCAATTATCACAATAGTGTGATTGAGGTATCTATATTACAGATAGCGAAGAAATAATATAGATTAGGATTCAATGTATTTTACCATCTAATTGCTGATGGGACACAAATCAAATCTTTCTTCTCAATTTCCGGAAAAGTATCTACAAAGATGGGTCCAAGCTTCGTAAGAGGAGTGGCCCTAGACATTTCTGGGGAGTGTGTAAGAGGCTTCTATGATTTCCTAATAGATAATAATTTGTGTGGCTTTTTTAGTTGTAAAGAGCAGTGTCTTTTGGTCAATGATGCTTACTTTTTAAATCTCTTCCTATACCTGCTCTCCAGAGCAAGGTGTTGGTTCTTAGTCAGGGTTCTCATCCCTTCTGGCACCAGAGGTGACCTTGCCTGGGTTGTCTCTTCCATATGCACCAGCCAGCTGTTGTAGAG